TTGAATGTGGAACACTCAGAGATAATTGAATTCACTACAGAAGCCAACTGGTCTAATAATTTTGTTGTATATCTTGAGATTCTTAATAAAATCCAAAGAAGAATCTGCAACATTATTATTCATGACCTGGCATCTTGGATTCAGTCACTTTCCTGTCACCATAATATAGCTTCCCTTTGCCTTTTCTATAATTTTATGGTAATTGTTCTGATGAGCTTTCCTCTTTGGTACCTTGACTTCAATAGTTTAAGTACGGTACTAGATTGCCCTGCCTCCTCAGGATGTAGGTGATCATGTCTCTCCACAATTTCCTGTCCTTTGTAGCCCTTAATAAATTCTATCTCTTTGTTATTTCTTGTAAAACTTGTTCTGTCAACCATTTACACAAGCTCACTAAGTATGCCATGTGTTGTTTTCCTCTGTCCTCCTTGCCTTCAAACTGTCCTGTAAGTATTAGATTTTCCAAGCCCTCTTTCCTTATGATATGCCCTAGAAATTTAAACTGTTTCTTCCTGATGTTAAGTATAAATTTCCTTTTCACTCTAATTTTACACATCACTTCCTCAGTCAGCACTTAGTTATTCTTAAATCTCTTGTTAATAGTTATGTAGTCAATTTGTTTTCTCTCTCTAATCCTTGAGATGTTCTTGAAAGCAAGTGTTGGCTTACCTGGTCATTCATGGTACACCATTGGGCCTATTTTTCTCTGCATTCATTACAAGTTAGATTTTCCTTTTTATCTTCTATCCGCATGGCTGATGCCAACCTCCAGTACAGTGACTCATTGCAACTACTCGGACGAATGTTTCCAGTTGACATAAAGTGAAAAGCTTATATTGAAGCAATTGCTAAGTCTGCAGCTAATTGTGTTGTGCTAGACAATTTTTTTCACTAGAATCTATCTTATATATATCTATTCTTGCTTTGAATATTTCTGCCACATCTGGTCTGGTACTGTTGCTATATAATTAGAGACTCTTGATAAAATCCAAAGAAGAACCTGAAATGTCATTGATCCTGATCTGGCATCTTGACTTCAGACCCTTTCCCACAGTCCTTGTGTCTTTTCTATAAATACTTTCATAGTGATTGTTCTGATGAACATTCTTCTGTGGTATCTAGACTTTAGGAATTTAAGCGCAGTACTAGATTGATGGTAAGGTCTCATCATTATCCAGTTGAAATGGCTAGATGTAACCATAAATTCTATGCTAATCGTTTCTTTTCCTGCATGTTGAAGCTTGAATAAGCATGGAATAATAATAATACAACACAAAATATACGTAACAAAATGTATTGAAACAATGAAAAAAGGTACACAATATTTACAGGTAGTTTTGGTATATTCTTGGGAAGACTGTTCCTGCAGAATGGGTTGACTAAGTCGCAGTCGGGCAGAGTCTCTGGATTCGATCTCTTAATCTTCCCTCGTCTTCCGGTACCAACCCATATTTATATGGTCGGTACTCCACTTATGTAAATTAGGTGGATCGTACCACAACACTGCACTTCTTGCTTGTGGAATCTCTTCTAGCTTCTTGCTTTCCAATCAAGTTTGATCTTCAAAAATTTAAATGCAATGTCAAATGTTACCTTCTGCCTTCTTAATTTCTATTCTTTTATTGTCTTTTTTTCTTAATACTAGTTTTTCTTACATTCTGTAACACTCTGTAAACCCCTTGTGTACTAGTTGCTTTATTGCCTTGCTTGGGGTGAAATGATTAAAAACAAAAAATGATAGGTATGATAATTTCGCTGTTGAAATTCTTAGTTCTAACTGTAAACAATCTGTACTTCTATTCTATCCCCTAATACTATAAGGACCGCTATTCTCTACTCTATTCACTATACTATTTCTCTATTCTGATCTCTATATGGGTTATTTGTCAAGTGAGTATTATCGAACAAGTTCTATTAGCACAAGTGCTATCCAAAATTGTCCGACACTAATATTGTTCACCGGCGCACTATCGATATATATGTGATTACAAAGTCTCTGCTACAATGAGCATTACAAAAGTGACAACATGTATTCGTTGACTTTCCAAAAGTGGCAACAAGTGTTCACTGACATCACAAAAAAATTTAAATGCAATTTCAATTGTCAAATGAGGAAAAGAGTACATTTCACATAGCTCAGTGAGGAAGATGGGTGAATAACTAAGGTAATCTCTGTTAAGTTGTGATGTCATGAACTGATGTCTCATATTGTCACTCCTTTTCCTTACTGATTTTGTATGCCTAAAGACTTTACTTAAATACTCTTCAAAAGGATCATGAAGCATGTTTTTTATTGTTGGTGGGAATGTGACCCATTGGTTGAAAAATGTTAATTATTTGTTTTCAAAGGATTCATTTATTAACTAGAAGGATGCAGGATTCCTCCAGCTCAGAAACCATTTTTTTTTTTTGTAATTTGATGATTGACTGTGTTGGTGTTTATTTCTGTCTTTTCTCCACAAAGGCATCATCAAATGGGTCAAATAGTAAATCAGACTAAGCTCTTTTACCTTGAGGTGGTAACCAGTCAAGGAGAAAGAAAACAGATTTCAAGTCCAGCCTGAAGAAGAATGAGTTTGGTCAGATTAGCTTGTCCTAGATATGCTATTACTGTTATAGCTGCAGTACTTGTGCCTCTATGACACTTTTGTGACTTGTGATGTGATGTGACAAAGTCTGACACTAAGCTACAAATGTGGTGCACACACTAAGTATATAGCTTAATTAGAACATACTAATTAGTTTAATTAGCCTAATTACTTGTAAAAAATTATAGGACACCTGTTGAGGATCAAATTCATTGAAAATGTTAAGGGCTACTAGCATATTGTGTTAAAGATCACTCTCTGACCAGGCAGCACATTTATTGAGTTTAACTTAGTATGGCACAAGGCTACAATTGTTAGGTACTTGGCAAGCATCAAATATGGTAGTAAGTGTCTACAAAATTGTTCTTATAGATTATTTCTCCATAGAATATGTGTGTGTGTGTGTGTGTGTATTATGAAATGGACAAAGTCCGACAATTATTTTAAGACATTTTTATGTTTATTCATAAGACATTCAGGCCGGTAAATGTTGTTAATATTATTTATTATAAACAGAGCATTTACTTAAATATTTGTATCTATAAAAAAGAATTTATAAGTATAAAAATGTGTGCGTGTGTGTGTGTGTGTGTGTGTGTGGAAGTATATTAAAAATAAATAAATTTAAAAATTTCAGAATACCAATTTATTCATAGTTTTTATATTCCCCCTCCTCTTTCAACACACACATAATTTTATCAAGAAAATTTTACTTTCAAGTCCCAAAGGATTAAACATATAAAAAAAAACTGTTGTTATTAATTTTTCCAAATATTCATAAAGAAATAATGGATTTTCATTCATTAACCCAACATAATTTTATCACAAAAAAAACAAAAAAAAACGTTATTTTATTTTGTCTACAAGCTTGAATATTCGAGAAGTCATAAAGGAAAATGCCAGATTTTCCAATAATATTCCTCGAATATTCAGGTTGTTAAAATAAATGCAGCATCTACTCAAATATATGTATCAAATACATATATATATATATATATATATATATATATATATATATATATATATATATATATATATATATATACAGGCAGTAAATGTTCATTCAAACAAGTTTTATGAAAGACAACATGTCTATGATAGCTTTTTTTTTTAAATAAGTTTTTCTTGTTGGCAAATTAGTTTTCATATCTTGGTGCTGTGTTGTAAAGGAACTGTACACAGTGTTATTACTTGTTAAGTTTCCAAGCTTCTGGCTAGCTTTGGTCATTGGAAAGAAAGAAAGAAAGAAAGAAAGAAAGAAAGAAAGAAAGAAAAGCAAGCAAGCAAGCAAGCAAAGCAAAGCAATAGACGAAATTCTATATCTGCGTCATTTTGAATCTTTGGATTGATTTTGAGTTTTTAAATGCTTGTGTTGTCACGTGCGTATGATATTATTTAGCGAGTTCTGAAACTTTTTGGTATCACAGGAACCTCTTAAATTTGTGAGAATATTCTTTAACTTCATGTTATTATAGATTATTAAACATTATCCAAATGAATAGTTCTCCAAATGATACACTGACTTTTGGTTTGGGTTATTGTGCAAATCAGTCATTTTGATTAAGTCTTCTACATAATGAAGCGTAGAAGTAAAAAAATTTGTTATAGAAAAATATGAAAAATCAAAATTAATTATATCTTAGTCACTGACTTGATAATTTTTTTTTTTCTGTTTTGATTCTGGTGAAAGGATTTATCTTCAAATTAAAAGAATACATTCTGAGATAAATTAGCTGATAGAAATATTCTTTGTTGGGTTTTTGAAATATGCCTAAAGACATCTTTGAGTTAAAACAAGCCAAGAATTATAAATCGATCTTTTCAGTTACTTCTCATTTCTTACTCACCAGGAAGACAGATTTTCATACAGATCCTGATAAAAAGAAATAATCACGGGAAAGCGTGGTTCATTTTTATGCTTTTATATCATAGACAGCAACTTGTTATTTCATTTGCACTCTTTTAGGACGATTTCTTTCGTATTTTTTTTCATTAAATGCTTATCTCATGTCTCTAATATTTTTCTTTCCCATGTTATTTTTTAAATCTTTCTACCAGTCTCTTGACAATTTTCTTTAGCCTTCAATATTTCAAAATTTTCTTTTTCTTTCTAAGAAGTTTTCTTTCTAATTTCTTTTTCTTTCAATCATCTTTTGCACTTTTTGATTCATAATTGTTTCTCAATTTTTCTTGTTTTTCAATTTTTATTTTCTTGTATTTTATTTCCGTTTTTTTTTATTCTTGCATAATGATTTATATTTTCCAAAATACCCACTGTTTCTTCTTTCAGAATAAATACATATTCCTTCTTTCCTCCTTTAAATTTAAAATACTTGTTTTTATTCCGTCTACAAATTATTTACTTTTTGGTTGCCTTCCTTCAATAATGTGTGTCCTTTCTTTCTTCAAAATATGTATTCTTTCTTTTCTCCTTCAAAATTCCTTCGTTTTTTTTCTACTTTCTTCAAAATACACATTCGTTCTTTCCACCTTCACAATATCTTCGTTCATTTTCCTTCCTTCTTCAAAATACGAATTCTTTCTTTTCTCCTTCAAAATTCCTTCGTTGTTTTTCTTCATTCTTCAAAATTACTTCATTCATTTTCTTCTTCTCCAAAATATGCATTCTTTCTTTCCTCCTTCAAAATATGTTCGTTGTTTTTCTTCCTTCTCCAAAATTCCTTCGTTCATTTTCTTCTTCTCCAAAATATGCATTCTTTCTTTCCTCCTTCAAAATATGTTCGTTGTTTTTCATCCTTCTCCAAAATTACTTCATTCATTTTCTTCTTCTCCAAAATATGCATTCTTTCTTTCCTCCTTCAAAATATGTTCGTTGTTTTTTTTTTCTTCCTTCTCAAAAATTCCTTCTGTTCATTTTCGTTGTTTTTCTTTCCAAAATATGCATTCTTTCTTTCCTCCTTCAAAATATGTTCGTTGTTTTTCTTCCTTCTCCAAAATTACTTCATTCATTTTCTTCTTCTCCAAAATATGCATTCTTTCTTTCCTCCTTCAAAATATGTTCGTTGTTTTTCATCCTTCTCCAAAATTACTTCATTCATTTTCTTCTTCTCCAAAATATGCATTCTTTCTTTCCTCCTTCAAAATATGTTCGTTGTTTTTCTTCCTTCTCCAAAATTACTTCATTCATTTTCTTCTTCTCCAAAATATGCATTCTTTCTTTCCTCCTCCAAAAATATGTTCGTTGTTTTTTTCCTTCTCCAAAATTCCTTCGTTCATTTTCTTCTTCTCCAAAATATGCATTCTTTCTTTCCTCCTTCAAAAATATGTTCGTTGTTTTTTCTTCCTTCTCCAAAATTACTTCATTCATTTTCTTCTTCTCCAAAATATGCATTCTTTCTTTCCTCCTTCAAAATATGTTCGTTGTTTTTTCTTCCTTCTCCAAAATTACTTCATTCATTTTCTTCTTCTCCAAAATATGCATTCTTTTTCTTTCCTCCTTCAAAATATGTTCGTTGTTTTTCTTCCTTCTCCAAAATTCCTTCATTCATTTTCTTCTTCTCCAAAATATGCATTCTTTCTTTCCTCCTTCAAAATATGTTCGTTGTTTTTCTTCCTTCTCCAAAATTACTTCATTCATTTTCTTCTTCTCCAAAATATGCATTCTTTCTTTCCTCCTTCAAAATATGTTCGTTGTTTTTCTTCCTTCTCCAAAATTCCTTCATTCATTTTCTTCTTCTCCAAAATATGCATTCTTTCTTTCCTCCTTCAAAAAATATGTTCGTTGTTTTTCTTCCTTCTCCAAAATTCCTTCATTCATTTCTTCTTCTCCAAAATATGCATTCTTTCTTTCCTCCTTCAAAATATGTTCGTTGTTTTCATCCTTTCAAAATTACTTCATTCATTTTCTTCTTCTCCAAAAATTCTTTCTTTCCTCCTTCAAAATATGTTCGTTGTTTTTCTTCCTTTCCATTTTCATTTCTTCTTCTCCAAAATATGCATTCTTTCTTTCCTCCTTCAAAATATGTTCGTTGTTTTCATCCTTCTCCAAAATTACTTCATTCATTTTCTTCTTCTCCAAAATATGCATTCTTTCTTTCCTCCTTCAAAATATGTTCGTTGTTTTCTTCCTTCTCCAAAATTCCTTCATTCATTTTCTTCTTCTCCAAAATATGCATTCTTTCTTTTCCTCCTTCAAAATATGTTCGTTCTCCAAAATTTTTTCCTTTTCCTTCTCCAAAATTCCTTCGTTCGTTGTTTTTCTTCTTCTCCAAAATATCATTCATTCTTTCTTTCCTCCTTCAAAATATGTTCGTTGTTTTTTCTTCCTTCTCCAAAATTACTTCATTCATTTTCTTCTTCTCCAAAATATGCATTCTTTCTTCCTCCTCCTTCAAAATATGTTCGTTGCATTTTTTCATTTTCCTTCTTCAAAAATATGTTCGTTGTTTTTGTTTTCCTTCTCCAAAATTCCTTCATTCATTTTCTTCTTCTCCAAAATATGCATTCTTTCTTTCCTCCTTCAAAAATATGTTCGTTCTCCAAAATTTTTTCTTCCTTCTCCAAAATTACTTCATTCATTTTCGTTGTTTTCTTCTCCAAAAAATATTCATTCTTTCTTTCCTCCTTCAAAATATGTTCGTTGTTTTTCTTCCTTCTCCAAAATTCCTTCATTTTTTTTCTTCTTCTCCAAAATATGCATTCTTTCTTTCCTCCTTCAAAATATGTTCGTTGTTTTTTCATCCTTCTCCAAAATTCCTTCATTCATTTTCTTCTTCTCCAAAATATGCATTCTTTCTTTCCTCCTTCAAAAATATGTTTTCGTTGTTTTTCTTCCTTCTCAAAAATTCCTTCATTCATTTTCTTCTTCTCCAAAATATGCATTCTTTCTTTCCTCCTTCAAAATATGTTCGTTGTTTTTCTTCCTTCTCCAAAATTCCTTCGTTCATTTTCTTCTTCTCCAAAATATGCATTCTTTCTTTCCTCCTTCAAAATATGTTCGTTGTTTTTCATCCTTCTCAAAATCCCTTCATTCATTTTTTCTTCTCCAAAATATGCATTCTTTCTTTCCTCCTTCAAAATATGTTCGTTGTTTTTTCTTCCTTCTCCAAAATTCCTTCATTCATTTTTTCTTCTTCTCCAAAATATGCATTTTTTTCTTTCCTCCTTCAAAAATATGTTCGTTGTTTTTCTTCCTTCTCCAAAATTCCTTCGTTCATTTTCTTCTTCTCCAAAATATGCATTCTTTCTTTCCTCCTTCAAAATATGTTCGTTGTTTTTCTTCCTTCTCCAAAATTACTTCATTCATTTTTTCTTCTCCAAAATATGCATTCTTTCTTTCCTCCTTCAAAATATGTTCGTTGTTTTTCTTCCTTCTCCAAAATTCCTTCATTCATTTTTCTTCTTCTCCAAAATATGCATTCTTTCTTTCCTCCTTCAAAAATATGTTTCGTTGTTTTTCTTCCTTCTCCAAAATTCCTTCATTCATTTTCTTCTTCTCCAAAATATGCATTCTTTCTTTCCTCCTTCAAAATATGTTCGTTGTTTTCTTCCTTCTCCAAAATTCCTTCGTTCATTTTTCTTCTTCTCCAAAATATGCATTCTTTCTTTCCTCCTTCAAAAATATGTTCGTTTTTTTCTTCCTTCTCCAAAATTCCTTCATTCATTTTTTCTTCTTCTCCAAAATATGCATTCTTTCTTTCCTCCTTCAAAATATGTTCGTTGTTTTTCTTCCTTCTCCAAAATTCCTTCATTCATTTTCTTCTTCTCCAAAATATTCATTCTTTCCTTTTTTTCCTCCTTCAAAATATCCATTCTTTTTCTTCTTCTTGTTTTTTCTTCCTTCTCCAAAATTCCTTCGTTCATTTTCTTCTTCTCCAAAATATGCATTCTTTCTTTTCCTTCTTAAAAAATATGTTCGTTGTTTTTCATCCTTCTCCAAAATTACTTCATTCATTTTCTTCTTCTCCAAAATATGCATTCTTTCTTTCTTTCCTCCTTCAAAAAATATGTTCGTTGTTTTTTCTTCCTTCTCCAAAATTCTTCTTCTTCATTCATTTTCTTCTTCTCCAAAATATGCATTCTTTCTTTCCTCCTCAAAAAATATGTTCGTTGTTTTTCTTCCTTCTCCAAAAATTCCTTCTTTCATTTCTTCTTCTCCAAAATATGCATTCTTTTCTTTCCTCCTTCAAAATATGTTCGTTGTTTTTCATCCTTCTCCAAAATTACTTCATTCATTTTCTTCTTCTCCAAAATATGCATTCTTTCTTTCCTCCTTCAAAATATGTTCGTTGTTTTTCTTCCTTCTCCAAAATTACTTCATTCATTTTTTCTTCTTCTCCAAAATATGCATTCTTTCTTTCCTCCTTCAAAATATGTTCGTTGTTTTTCTTCCTTCTCCAAAATTACTTCATTCATTTTCTTCTTCTCCAAAATATGCATTCTTTTCTTTCCTCCTTCAAAATATGTTCGTTGTTTTTTTCTTCCTTCTCCAAAATTCCTTCATTTCATTTCTTCTTCTCCAAAATATGCATTCTTTCTTTCCTCCTTCAAAATATGTTCGTTGTTTTTCTTCCTTCTCCAAAATTCCTTCGTTCATTTTCTTCTTCTCCAAAATATGCATTCTTTCTTCTTCAAAATATGCATTGTTTTTCTTCCTTCTCCAAAAAAATATCTTTCCGTCTTCAAATATGTTCGTTTTTCTTCCTTCTCCAAAATTCCTTCGTTCATTTTTTCTTCTTCCAAAATATGCATTCTTTTCATTTTTTCCTCCTTTTCAAAATATGTTCGTTGTTTTTCTTCCTTCTCCAAAATTACTTCATTCATTTTCTTCTTCTCCAAAATATGCATTCTTTCTTTCCTCCTTCAAAATATGTTCGTTGTTTTTCTTCCTTCTCCAAAATTACTTCATTCATTTTCTTCTTCTCAAAATATGCATTCTTTCTTTCCTCCTTCAAAATATGTTCGTTGTTTTTTCTTCCTTCCCAAAATTCTTCATTCATTTTCTTCTTCTCCAAAATATCATTCTTTTCTCCTTCAAAATATGTTCGTTGTTTTCTTCCTTCTCCTTCGTTCATTTCTTCTTCTCCAAAATATGCATTCTTTCTTTCCTCCTTCAAAAATATGTTCGTTGTTTTCTTCCTTCTCAAAATTACTTCATTCATTTTCTTCTTCTCCAAAATATGCATTCTTTCTTTCCTCCTTCAAAATATGTTCGTTGTTTTTCTTCCTTCTCCAAAATTACTTCATTCATTTTCTTCTTCTCCAAAATATGCATTCTTTCTTTCCTCCTTCAAAATATGTTCGTTGTTTTTTCTTCCTTCTCCAAAATTACTTCGTTCATTTTCTTCTTCTCCAAAATATGCATTCTTTCTTTCCTTCTTCAAAATATGTTCGTTGTTTTTCTTCCTTCTCCAAAATTCCTTCATTCATTTTTTCTTCTCCAAAATATGCATTCTTTCTTTCCTCCTTCAAAATATGTTCATTTCTTTTTGTTTTTTCATTCATTTTCTTCTTCAAAATTATTCTTTCTTTTCATTCATTTTCTTTTTCTTCCTTCTCCAAAATATGCATTCTTTTCTTTCCTCCTTCAAAATATGTTCGTTGTTTTTCTTCCTTTTTCTTCCTTCTTCAAAATAAATTCCTTCTTCGTTCATTTTCTTCTTCTCCAAAATATGCATTCTTTCTTTCCTCCTTCAAAATATGTTCGTTGTTTTTTCTTCCTTCTCCAAAATTACTTCATTCATTTTCTTCTTCTCCAAAATATGCATTCTTTCTTTCCTCCTTCAAAATATGTTCGTTGTTTTTCTTCCTTCTCCAAAATTCCTTCATTCATTTTCTTCTTCTCCAAAATATGCATTCTTTCTTTCCTCCTTCAAAATATGTTCGTTGTTTTTCTTCCTTCTCCAAAATTACTTCATTCATTTTCTTCTTCTCCAAAATATGCATTCTTTCTTTTCCTCCTTCAAAATATGTTCGTTGTTTTTCTTCCTTCTCCAAAATTCCTTCGTTCATTTTCTTCTTCTCCAAAATATCATTCTTTTCTTAAAATATTCGTTGTTTTCTTCCTTCTCCAAAATTATTCATTTTCTTTTCTCCAAAATATGCATTCTTTTCTTTCCTTCAAAAATATGTTCGTTGTTTTCTTCCTTCTCCAAAATTACTTCATTCATTTTCTTCTTCTCCAAAATATGCATTCTTTCTTTCCTTCTTCAAAAATATGTTCGTTGTTTTTTCTTCCTTCTCCAAAATTCCTTCATTCATTTTCTTCTTCCAAAAAAATATGCATTCTTTCTTTCCTCCTTCAAAATATGTTCGTTGTTTTTCTTCCTTCTCCAAAATTACTTCATTCATTTTCTTCTTCTCCAAAATATGCATTCTTTCTTTCTCCTTCAAAATATGTTCGTTGTTTTTCTTCCTTCTCCAAAATTTCCTTCGTTCATTTTCTTCTTCTCCAAAATATGCATTCTTTCTTTCCTCCTTCAAAATATGTTCGTTGTTTTTTCTTCCTTCTCCAAAATTCCTTCGTTCATTTTCTTCTTCTCCAAAATATGCATTCTTTCTTTCCTCCTTCAAAATATGTTCGTTGTTTTTCCGTCCAAAATTTTTTCATTTTCTTCTTCTCCAAAAATTTCCCTTCAAAATATGTTCGTTGTTTTCTTCCTTTCAAAAATTACTTCGTTCATTTTTTCTTCTTCTCCAAAATATGCATTCTTTCTTTCCTCCTTCAAAATATGTTCGTTGTTTTTTCTTCCTTCTCCAAAATTACTTCATTCATTTTCTTCTTCTCCAAAATATGCATTCTTTCTTTCCTCCTTCAAAAAATATGTTCGTTGTTTTTCTTCCTTCTCCAAAATTCTTCATTCATTTTCTTCTTCTCCAAAATATGCATTCTTTCTTTCCTCCTTCAAAATATGTTCGTTGTTTTTCTTCCTTCTCCAAAATTACTTCATTCATTTTCTTCTTCTCCAAAATATGCATTCTTTCTTTCCTCCTTCAAAATATGTTCGTTGTTTTTCTTCCTTCTCCAAAATTCCTTCGTTCATTTTCTTCTTCTCCAAAATATGCATTCTTTCTTTCCTCCTTCAAAATATGTTCGTTGTTTTTCTTCCTTCTCCAAAATTACTTCATTCATTTTCTTCTTCTCCAAAATATGCATTCTTTCTTTCCTCCTTCAAAATATGTTCGTTGTTTTTTCTTCCTTCTCCAAAATTACTTCATTCATTTTCTTCTTCTCCAAAATATGCATTCTTTCTTTCCTCCTCCAAAAATATGTTCGTTGTTTTTCTTCCTTCTCCAAAATTACTTCATTCATTTTCTTCTTCTCCAAAAATATGCATTCTTTCTTTCCTCCTTCAAAATATGTTCGTTGTTTTTTTCTTCCTTCTCCAAAATTCCTTCATTCATTTTCTTCTTCTCCAAAATATGCATTCTTTCTTTCCTCCTTCAAAAATATGTTCGTTGTTTTTCTTCCTTCTCCAAAATTACTTCATTCATTTCTTCTTTCTCCAAAATATGCATTCTTTCTTTCCTCCTTCAAAAATATGTTCGTTGTTTTTTCTTCCTTCTCCAAAATTCCTTCATTCATTTTCTTCTTCTCCAAAATATTCTTTCTTTCCTCCTTCCGTTGTTTTTCTTCCTTCAAATTATCATTCATTTTCTTCTTTTTTCTTCCTTTCCTCCTTCAAAAATTCGTTGTTTTTCTTGTTCCAAAATTCCTTTTTCTTCTTCTCAAAATATGCATTCTTTCTTTCCTTCTTCAAAATATGTTCGTTGTTTTTCTTCCTTCTCCAAAATTACTTCATTCATTTTCTTCTTCTCCAAAATATGCATTCTTTCTTTCCTCCTTCAAAATATGTTCGTTCCTTCTCCAAAATTCCTTCTGTTCATTTTCTTCTTCTCCAAAATATGCATTCTTTCTTTCCTTCTTCAAAATATGTTCGTTGTTTTTTCTTCCTTCTCCAAAATTCCTTCATTCATTTTCTTCTTTCCAAAATATGCATTCTTTCTTTCCTCCTTCAAAATATGTTCGTTGTTTTTCATCCTTCTCCAAAATTACTTCATTCATTTTCTTCTTCTCCAAAATATGCATTCTTTCTTTTTCTTCCTTCAAAATATGTTCGTTGTTTTTCTTCCTTCTCCAAAATTCCTTCATTCATTTTCTTCTTCTCCAAAATATGCATTTTTCTTTCCTTCTTCAAAAAATATGTTCGTTGTTTTTTTCTTCCTTCTCCAAAATTACTTCATTCATTTTCTTCTTCTCCAAAATATGCATTCTTTCTTTCCTCCTTCAAAAAATATGTTCGTTGTTTTTCTTCCTTCTCCAAAATTCCTTCGTTCATTTTCTTCTTCTCCAAAATATGCATTCTTTCTTTCCTTCTTCAAAATATGTTCGTTGTTTTTTCTTCCTTCTCCAAAATTACTTCATTCATTTTCTTCTTCTCCAAAATATGCATTCTTTCTTTCCTCTTCTTCAAAATATGTTCGTTGTTTTTTTCCTCCTTCAAAATATGTTCATTTGTTTTTCTTCCTTTCTCTCCCAAAAATTCCTTTTTTCATTTCTTCTTCTTCCAAAATATGCATTCTTTCTTTCCTTCTTCAAAAAATATGTTCGTTGTTTTTCTTCCTTCTCCAAAATTACTTCATTCATTTTCTTCTTCTCCAAAATATGCATTCTTTCTTTCCTCCTTCAAAATATGTTCGTTTTTTTTCTTCCTTCTCCAAAATTACTTCATTCATTTTCTTCTTCTCAAAATATGCATTCTTTCTTTTCCCTTCAAAATATGTTCGTTGTTTTTCTTCCTTCTCCAAAAATTACTTCATTCATTTTCTTCTTCTCCAAAATATGCATTCTTTCTTTTCCTCCTTCAAAATATGTTCGTTGTTGTTTTCTTTTTCCTTCTCCAAAATTCCTTCATTCATTTTTTTTCTTCTTCCAAAATATGCATTCTTTCTTTCCTTCTTCAAAATATGTTCGTTGTTTTTCTTCCTTCTCCAAAATTACTTCATTTTTTCTTCTTCTCCAAAATATGCATTCTTTCTTTTTCCTCCTTCAAAATATGTTCGTTGTTTTTTCTTCCTTCTCCAAAATTCCTTCATTCATTTTCTTCTTCTCCAAAATATGCATTCTTTCTTTCCCTCCTTCAAAATATGTTCGTTGTTTTCTTCCTTCTCCAAAATTACTTCATTCATTTTCTTCTTCTCCAAAATATGCATTCTTTCTTTTCCTCCTTCAAAAATATGTTCGTTGTTTTTTCTTCCTTCTCCAAAATTCCTTCATTCATTTTCTTCTTCTCCAAAATATGCATTCTTTTTTCCTCCTTCAAAATATGTTCGTTGTTTTTCTTCCTTCTCCAAAATTACTTCATTCATTTTCTTCTTCTCCAAAATATGCATTCTTTCTTTCCTCCTTCAAAATATGTTCGTTGTTTTTTCTTCCTTCTCCAAAATTCCTTCATTCATTTTCTTCTTCTCCAAAATATGCATTCTTTCTTTCCTTCTTCAAAAATATGTTCGTTGTTTTTCTTCCTTCTCCAAAATTACTTCATTCATTTTCTTCTTCTCCAAAATATGCATTCTTTCTTTCCTCCTTCAAATATGTTCGTTGTTTTTTCTTCCTTCTCCAAAATTACTTCATTCATTTTCTTCTTCTCCAAAATATGCATTCTTTCTTTCCTCCTTCAAAATATGTTCGTTGTTTTTCTTCCTTCTCCAAAATTACTTCATTCATTTTCTTCTTCTCCAAAATATGCATTCTTTCTTTCCTCCTTCAAAATATGTTCGTTGTTTTTCTTCCTTCTCCAAAATTCCTTCATTCATTTTCTTCTTCTCCAAAATATGCATTCTTTCTTTCCTTCTTCAAAATATGTTCGTTGTTTTTCTTCCTTCTCCAAAATTACTTCATTCATTTTCTTCTTCTCCAAAATATGCATTCTTTCTTTCCTCCTTCAAAATATGTTCGTTGTTTTTCTTCCTTCTCCAAAATTCCTTCATTCATTTTCTTCTTCTCCAAAATATGCATTCTTTCTTTCCTTCTTCAAAATATGTTCGTTGTTTTTCTTCCTTCTCCAAAATTACTTCATTCATTTTCTTCTTCTCCAAAATATGCATTCTTTCTTTCCTCCTTCAAAATATGTTCGTTGTTTTTCTTCCTTCTCCAAAATTACTTCATTCATTTTTTCTTCTTCAAAATATGCATTCTTTCTTTCCTCCTTCCAAAATATGTTCGTTGTTTTTTCTTCCTTCTCCAAAATTACTTCATTCATTTTCTTCTTCTCCAAAAATATGCATTCTTTTCTTTCCTTCTTAAAAATATGTTCGTTGTTTTTCTTCATTCTCCAAAATTCCTTCATTCATTTTCTTCTTCTCCAAAATATGCATTCTTTCTTTTCCTCCTTCAAAATATATGTTCGTTGTTTTTCTTCCTTCTCCAAAATTCCTTCATTCATTTTCTTCTTCTCCAAAATATGCATTCTTTCTTTCCTCCTTCAAAATATATGTTCGTTGTTTTTCATCCTTCTCCAAAATTCTTCTTCATTCATTTTCTTTTCTTTCTTCCAAAATATGCATTCTTTTCTTTCCTTCTTCAAAATATGTTCGTTGTTTTTCTTCATTCTTCAAAATTACTTCATTCATTTTCTTCTTCTCCAAAAATATGCATTCTTTCTTTCCTCCTTCAAAATATGTTCGTTGTTTTTCTTCCTTCTCCAAAATTACTTCATTCATTTTCTTCTTCTCCAAAATATGCATTCTTTCTTTTCCTCCTTCAAAATATGTTCGTTTTTTTCTTCCTTCTCCAAAATTACTTCATTCATTTTCTTCTTCTCCAAAATATGCATTCTTTCTTTCCTCCTTCAAAATATGTTCGTTGTTTTTTCTTCCTTCTCCAAAATTACTTCATTCATTTTCTTCTTCTCCAAAATATGCATTCTTTCTTTCCTCCTTCAAAATATGTTTCATTTTTTCTTCCTTCTCCAAAATTACTTCATTCATTTTCTTCTTCTCCAAAATATGCATTCTTTCTTTCCTCCTTCAAAATATGTTCGTTGTTTTTTCTTCCTTCTCCAAAATTACTTCATTCATTTTCTTCTTCTCCAAAATATGCATTCTTTTTTTCCTCCTTCAAATATGTTCGTTGTTTTTCTTTTTCCAAAATTACTTCATTCCTTCTCCAAAATAATTCCTTCAAAATATGTTCGTTTTTTTTTTCTTCTTCTCAAAAATATGCATTCTTTCTTCTCCATTCCTTTCCTCCTTCAAAAAATATGTTCGTTGTTTTTTCATCCTTCTCCAAAATTCCTTCATTCATTTTCTTCTTCTCCAAAATATGCATTCTTTCTTTCCTCCTTCAAAATATGTTCGTTGTTTTTCATCCTTCTCCAAAATTCCTTCATTCATTTTCTTCTTCTCCAAAATATGCATTCTTTCTTTCCTCCTTCAAAATATGTTCGTTGTTTTTCTTCCTTCTCCAAAATTACTTCATTCATTTTCTTCTTCTCCAAAATATGCATTCTTTCTTTCCTCCTTCAAAATATGTTCGTTGTTTTTCTTCCTTCTTCAAAATTACTTCATTCATTTTCTTCTTCTCCAAAATATGCATTCTTTCTTTCCTCCTACAAAATGTTTTCGTTCATTTTCTTACTTTCTCAAAATACTCATTCTTTTTGAACTTCTTCAAAATTCCTTCGTTTTTTTTTTCTACTTTCTTCAAAATACGCATTCGTGTTTTCCTCCTTCAAACTTTTTCATTCTTTTTCTACCTTCTTCAAAATATGCATTCCTTCTTTCCTCCTTCAAAATTCCTTCGTTTTTTTTCTTCCTTCTCCAAAATTTCTTCGTTCATTTTCTTCCTTTTTCAAAATATGCATTCTTTCTCTCCTCCTTCAAAATTCCTTCATTCTTTTTATTCCTTCTTTAAAATACGAATTCCGTCTTTCCTCCTTCAAAATTTCTTCCTTCTTCAAATATGTATTATTGTGTCTTACCTTCAAAATACGCGTTCTTTCTTTGCTTTCAAAATACACTTCATTTTTCCTTCTTCAAAAGACGCGTTCTTTTTGTTGTTACTTCTCTTCAGTACCTGTTCTGTGTTCATGATCTATTTTCCCCCTTCTGTCGTTAATTTATTGTGTATTTCTTTCTCTTCTTACTTCCAAATCTATTTGTCTCTCAATTTCCAATCATCTTTGCTTCCTTCATCATCCTTTTCTTTAAACAACGTTCCTTATGTTGCAGTAAAAGCGTCAAAGTTCAACATCACATTAAGAATTTTGTAGAGAATGCAGTTTGAAGTCTAATACAATGGTAACTAACAAAACAAAACAAAAAATAAAGGTGTGTTTGTATAAATGTGTGTAATCACACATGGCCACAAACATACACACCTATTTTTTCTCTCTCTTTTTTTTTCTCTCTCTCTCTCTCTATATATATATATATATGTGTGTGTGTGTGTGTGTGTGTGTGTGTGCAAACGCGCGCTTACGTTTGTAGAAAGCCGAACTAAGAAGCTGTAGCATAAAAAGTTTCTAATGATTGGTCATTTTCGAATGCGGTGGCTGAGAACCGTTCGATAGTTATTTGTATATAACACAACAACACATATATATTTTTTTTATATATAAGAGAATATGATATATATATCCTAACAATATTGAGTGAATGCAGTGATTTTTCCACTTTCTCGATCAGTTACCAAATATATATATATATATATATATATATATATATATATATATATATATATACACCTATTTGAGCTCTTTTATTAGTATATATATATATATATATATATATATATATATATATATGTATGTGTGTGTGTGTTTTTAACAATAGAAAATATTAAAAATTTAAATTTTCAGATACACTGGGGTTGTATATTAATATTTTTTATCATTTCAATTAGGTTCCTCGATCTAGTTTCGGCCAGCATGGCCATCATCTAAAGAAAAGAAATTCCTGCTTGTTAGTAGCAGTGAATTTTCCACAGGAATGAATATATATATATATATATATATATATATATATATATATATATATATATATATATACACAAATGCCCTTTAAGGAACTGTGTTCCTGATCAAATCGAATTCATAAATAATTAAATCGGTCCCACTACTACATGCCTATCCAGGCGCCTGACGTTACACCTATCCGACCACAGCTCTATTAGAATCCATTTAAGCACACATACAAACTTACCAGACTCCATCCAAAACATATTTGTAGAAAATACAAACATAACATCATCCACATGTAAAAAAAAGATTTAAAATAATGGAAGCCTTAATAATAAAAAAAGAAAAATCCAATAATAATATTAACTATGAACACGGCCACAATGTGCTAAATGTGTTCAGAAAATAAAACATCACTATAACTCTAGAAACATACACACAACCCATACACCCAATTAAAAAGCAAAAATAAAATCATCATTGATAATGGCTAAAAGTATAGCCGAATGCCCTCAGAATTATAGAAAATTTAGACAGTCTGTGTCCAGAAAAGAAAACACTTGTTCGAACACAAGGAAAATTAAATAAAAATCTTAATCGTAATAGCTTGTCTGTCGTCTTTTAATGAAACATATATATATATATATATATATATATATATATATATATATATATATACAGGTTGAACCAAAAATAGGTGGACAGAAAATAGCATTATTTTGAGGTTACATGCAAATACAATTAAATGTTGAACAACTATTACATATATTATTAAATTTAATTTTTCACATAATACAATAAAAAGCACTGAAAATTTTATCAACGCAGCTTCTGAAACTGCTGTCCACCACAATTTATACAGCTTTGAAGTCTGTTGGGGTCCACTCACATCATAACATCATAAATTAGCCTCGTGTTTAGGGAGATAAAAACATATTTGACAAGAAAAAAACGTACAGAAATAACAGGAAAGCATGGTAAATTGTATGTTAATTTCATACAATTCATTTATATTTTTTGTGTGTATCGGTGTGTATATTATTTTGAATCCAATGTTTTTTCAGGGCGTTAACTATTTTCTTCCTAAATTTGTCTAATTTGCGGCCATTGGATTCTCTTATTAAGATAAGAGCGTCATCTTTGTATAATCTCGTGTCCTTTCTCTCCAGGATTCGGGCCAGGCATAAGAGGATGAGTATGCCTACTAATTCGCAAACAAGCTCCATTGTAGCTACCCATTGTTACATCAAACAGGTCATAGTTTTGTTTCTTTGCCAATAGTTCACTATTGTGGAACAGCAGAGATTTGCGGCAGTGTTTGATTATTTTTATATCTCCGTCCGTGATTTTTACATGTTGCTATGCCAGTTGTATAGCTTCATTTAATATGTTTTCTGTGATGGAAGGATAGAAATCCACTATGTCGAATTGGATGAAAGTGGATTTGTTTTTGGTTTTCATCGTTTTAAACCACTCTATGACAGCTTTGGTGTTCTTCCACTGGTTGAGACTTAATTTTTCCCTTAGGCTGGTGTTGATAGTTTCCAGTATGTTTTTACTGATTTTTCCTATTTCACTCTTTGCCGGGTTAATTAGACTGAATGTGGGTTTTTCTACGAAGCTGGTTTTGTGGTCCTTTGCCGTCATGAAAGCTTGTTGTTCAGCTAATTTGTTTATTCTTCCATCTCTCTTCAATTTGGCGGCTATATCTTTAGTTTCTTGGTTTATTATGTTTATTGTGTTTACGGTTGTCTTCTTGTATAACTGTGTAATTTTGTTGGTTAAGAGTTTATTGTAGTGTATATGTTCGTGGTTTTGTCAGCCAATATGAATACCTTACTGGAGTTGATTATTTTTCTTGTCTTCTATGATTTTCTTGTGGAAACTGTCCAAGTGTTTTTTGAACTTCAAGTTTCTGACTATATTTGTCATGTCTTCCACGAATTTTAGCATTTCCTTCCATATTGGTATTAAAGCTGAATGCCTCGGGTTTTTCAGTTATTTCGTTTTTTTTGTTTTGTTTTGTTTTTTTTTGGTCGTTGAGGAAGAAGTATGCCTTCCATCTCATTCGTCTTATGAAACTTTCGATTTTCTCTGTTAGTTGAAGTTTATATGAGGCTTGGGTGGGTATAGGAATGTAAAGAACAGCGCAAGTGCTCAATCTGTGTGGAAGGCATAAATACAAAATGCAATTTCTACCAGTTACATATACGCAGTCATCAAAAACAAGCAAATAACCAGCTTTAAAATAAATAAGATAAATTTATTGAAGCAAAACAAGTTCAGTTGACCACTGATGACAATTCCAGAACAATGTAACTATAAACAATTTTTTTCTAACCTCTGCCAGCCGCAATGATGGAAAAAGCATTACCTCGAACCATGGCCAGTGATATAGGCTGCAAGAGCCACTCCGTTTCGTTATCATTATAACTGTGTTGGCGGATTCAACCATTCAATGACAATATTCTCCACACGTGACAATAACTGACGTTATTTTCAGTTAACAATATGAAAATAGCGTTCTCTACATTCCTCCAGTTGCTAAAAACATTCTGTTTTTTGTTATTATGACTTACGTTCTTTAATTAAATTCATTTCGTTTTTTTTTGCTTTGATAAAGTCCGCATTGGACGAAACGCGTCAGCAATAACTAAAGTTTTCCTATTGTCATATATATTTATAAATATTGTCTTTTCTACTGGTTAACTCTGAGAAATTTTCATGCATATATCTATATATATATATATATATATATATATATATATATATATATATAGCCTGACGATTGCGTCTAGCATGAAACAGACTGTCGCCACTGAGTGTTGACTTTAATGTCCACTTTGATATTTAGATACGCTCTATCTCTGATATTGAGCACTTTATCCCATATATATACCTTAAAACTATATTTCTTCCATACACACCCCCATATATATATATATATATATATATATATATATATATGTGTATGTGTGTGTGTGCGCGTGCGTGTGTGTATGTTGAAAATTCAGCAGTACAACCAACAGAAAGCCTGATAGGTAACCAAAAGAAAACTCAATAAAAAAGAAAAAAGAAAGAAAATACTAATGACGAATATAACAAAAACCAAGAAACAAAACTATATAAGAAAACGAGGAAATGAAATAAACTAAGAAAAAACAAAAAAGGAGACACCTTCCCAAAAGGAAGTAACCGACAGTGCTCTATGTCTTGACTATCAAGACAGAGCAAAAACGTTTATATTATATATATATATATATAATGAAAAGTAACAGTACATTTACTGAAAGAAATTTCAATTACCAACTTGGTGTGCTCTCCTGAGATCGATCTATTGACTGACGACACCCAGTAGAATTGCAATAATCTCCCTCTACTCGAAAGCTCGACGACCACATTCTCTACCTATGGTCTCTCTTGCAAGCTAAATAACATTCTTTTATGTCTTCCGCACGGTCTAATCCCATCATGCATCTGCCATAATCTTCTTTCTCTTTTGATACTTATCAATATTCAGAGTGCTTTTACTCAAGGAGACTTTTCATGTTTTCTTTTCTATCTTTTGCTAAAGAGGCCATTTTGCTTCTGTGCCTTTTTATTTTCTTGCTTCATCTGTGCCTCGGATAAAATAATTCGAAAAATAATGCTTGATTTGGCTTGAAATTTGAAAATTTGCAAGTGTAACTTAAAGGTTCCAACAGAGGTCAATCTAATTACCTTAGGTATCTTATCTTTATATATATATACTGAAGTGACATAGAGATAAAATAAAAAAAACGTATACCGTATACTTTCGCCCTACTTCGTTTATAGAAATAGATTTTTTTTAATTGTTTTACATCAAGCAAGGTGATAATGTCAGAGACTCAATGGGTTACTTTACCGAAAGTGAAAGAAAAAGAAGACGTTAGCGAGGGGAATGGACAATAAAAGATTGCGATTGACATAGGATTTACATTTTTGAAGATCGTAGGTGACAGCAAAGTAAAAAGTCAGAAGAAAGTTCCACAGGCGATAGGTACGAGGGAAGAAAGTATTTTAATAGATCATACGATTACATCTTCTAGCTATTTTAACAGTAAAATAATGAGACCAATCTAGTAGTACACTTAAATGTGTAAAATATGGTATCAAATACCAACATTCCAAATTTTAACATTTAACAAAAACCCAAGTAGAAGGATTCCAACAACTTAAATACACTAAAAACTTTTTTCCTGAATTTGGATCGATGAAATAGAGATGCATATACATTTAAATAATAGAAAATATATCTCTTTTCTTAGGGATTGTAAAGTTGTAGAATGATG